GTATTGTATAATAGTACTGGATACAATATCAAGAGTATTCTAATTATTGAGTTTAAGTCACCATCAGTGACGTCACGAATCAGATCTAACTTTTAAAGCGGAGTGACTGGCGGTCATAGGTCAGCAGGGTTGACATGTCTAGTATTTCTCAAAGTTCAATTAACCATTTTGGGGATCGGGAACAGCTCTGCCGTTAGATGTTTGTAATTCAATTCAGTAAAATAATTCAACCAGTCTGGATCAATTAAGTACAACAGAGGTTAATTGTTATAACTTAAACCTGGCTAGGAACTGGGTAGAACTTTGACTAGGCGGAAGGATACAAGGTTCTAGTCTGGGCTAGGCCAGACGAGGACAAATCAGTGTGGTCACGGAAGCAGCTAGGAGAGGTCAAACATCTTACCTCTCCCCTAGACCAGCCAAGACATCCAGCTGGTCGCCCAAGGTATAGTTGCTATTGTTAATTATAGAAATAGTCTTCTCATTTGCCACTCAGGTCAAGTAGGGAGTGTTAAAGTAATAGGGAGTGAACATATTTAGATTTTGTTTTAGTTTTCTTTTAATAAATTAAATTTGTTATTAATTTGCATTTTATTGTTTCCATGTGTTTTATGTGTATACTTGTCCTGGTCACGTGGTCCACACGAGGCAGAGTTGCATTGTGCGCCGATTCTAACATCGAATCGGAATTATCATTACCGTGTAATTTATTCCACACTCAAGGTCATCGTTTATAGTGGGGATCAAGCCCCTAGGTTGATTAATTAGCGTGATCGATCCAGACCTCGATCATTGCTCTTGTATTACTGGTCTGGTGGTGGCAGCAGAGGTGACTCTAGGGTTTTGTGCAGAGCTTAGGTCACGTCATACTGGGTGTAGAATCCTAAGTCGGTCAATCGTCTTAGGACCACGTGGCGTGGAGTTGGCTTTGGTAAAAGTTTTGGGGTCCCTTGGTTTAGAAATAATAAGTAAGAATACGGGTAGAGGGAGTAGAAAGAAGGAAGTAAAGAGAGAGGAACCTAACCCGTGTTACACCTGCCCCGTGTACACCACACCCCCGACCATCTCTGCCCCGTGTACACCACACCCCCGACCATCCCTGCCCCGTGTACACCACACTCCCGACCATCCCTGCCCCGTGTACACCACACTCCCGACCATCCCTGCCCCGTGTACACCACACCCCCGACCATCTCTGCCCCGTGTACACCACACCCCCGACCATCTCTGCCCCGTGTACACCACACCCCCGACCATCCCTGCCCCGTGTACACCACACCCCCGACCATCCCTGCCCCGTGTACACCACACCCCCGACCATCTCTGCCCCGTGTACACCACACCCCCGACCATCTCTGCCCCGTGTACACCACACTCCCGACCATCCCTGCCCCGTGTACACCACACCCCCGACCATCCCTGCCCCGTGTACACCACACCCCCGACCATCTCTGCCCCGTGTACACGACACCCCCGACCATCTCTGCCCCGTGTACACCACACCCCCGACCATCTCTGCCCCGTGTACACCACACCCCCGACCATCTCTGCCCCGTGTACACGACACCCCCGACCATCCCTGCCCCGTGTACACCACACCCCCGACCATCTCTGCCCCGTGTACACCACACCCCCGACCATCTCTGCCCCGTGTACACGACACCCCCGACCATCCCTGCCCCGTGTACACCACACCCCCGACCATCTCTGCCCCGTGTACACCACACCCCCGACCATCTCTGCCCCGTGTACACGACACCCCCGACCATCCCTGCCCCGTGTACACCACACCCCCGACCATCTCTGCCCCGTGTACACCACACCCCCGACCATCTCTGCCCCGTGTACACGACACCCCCGACCATCTCTGCCCCGTGTACACCACACCCCCGACCATCTCTGCCCCGTGTACACGACACCCCCGACCATCCCTGCCCCGTGTACACGACACTCCCGACCATCCCTGCCCCGTGTACACCACACTCCCGACCATCCCTGCCCCGTGTACACCACACCCCCGACCATCCCTGCCCCGTGTACACCACACTCCCGACCATCCCTGCCCCGTGTACACCACACCCCCGACCATCTCTGCCCCGTGTACACCACACTCCCGACCATCCCTGCCCCGTGTACACCACACCCCCGACCATCCCTGCCACTAGCTGTGGGTGTGGGGCGTCTCAACTAGGGTATAGACTTTGTAGCTCTGGGTCTTGTAACATTGTGACCGTGTTCTACTCTCTCGTGGCTGCTGTTGGATTGAAATGTTTAGTGGTTGCGTGGTTGGGCGGATGGTGTTTTGTTGCTCTTCTTAATGCCTTGTCATTTTAGCATGTTGGTTTTCTTTAAGGTATGTAGTGGTACTGGAGGGTGTTAATTTGGCTTGGCTAGCCAGGGCTGTGTCAGTCTATGCCACAGGTGCGGGTGTATGCCCGTCTACGGTTGAGCTCATGTGTTGGACGGTGGACGTCACACCTGGTTGATACCTGGTTGATACCTGGTTGATGGGGTTCTGGGAGTTCTTCTACTCCCCAAGCCCGGCCCGAGGCCAGGCTTGACTTGTGAGAGTTTGGTCCACCAGGCTGTTGCTTGGAGCGGCCCGCAGGCCCACATACTCACATGTATACTGCTGTTGTGCTGTGACGAGAATAACGCAGTGACTCTGCTGCAGGCTTCTGTGAAGATGTTGTATCCAAGACAAGAACAGGAGTGGCAGACAGTGGTACCAGATAGCTGGGCCTGGAATTCTTCGGCAGGGGGGATCCCACCGCTGCCACCAGTGTTATCAGTTGGTTGTTGACCAAACGACACACGTCGTCCCTTCACTAGAAAGTGAAGGGACGACGACGTTTCGTCCGTCCTGAACCATTCTCAAGTCGATGTCGACTCGTCCCTTCACTTTCTAGTGTGTGGTTTGGTCAACATATTTCAGCCACGTTATTGTGACTCCTCGTCTGCTTATCAGTTGGTTGTTGTTGGCGGCTTGTCGGTTGGAAGGAACCGACACCTGTGGCCTTTCCTTCTACATTAATAAAATATAATATATATATATACGTACTGAACCACGTACTAGCTACGGTGAGTGTCTGTGCAGCGCTGACGCTGATGTGATCTTGGTGTACGGTCCTCGGCCTCCTGGAACCAGCGCACAAGGTGTTCTTGGAGACTGCGTAGTTGACTAGAGAATAGGCGTAGCCAGGCGCCCGGCACATACCCGGACACGGGTGAAGACAGCAGCATGTATCACGTGCGTGCTGAACCTGCTCTCATATTTACACCTGTATTATAAGCGGCACTTTGGTCTGGTCTCGCACTCTCACGCGAGGTACAGGGGGGGGGGGGCTTTGATGGTGTGGGGGGCCCTCTGATGGTGTGGGGGGCCCTTTGATGGTGTGGGGGGCCCTTTTGATGGTGTGGGGGGCACGTCGAGGGGGGGGGGCCTCTGATGGTGTGGGGGACCACGCCGGGGGGACCCTCTCATGGTGTGGGGGGCCCACAGGAGGCGAGAGGGGCGTCGCCCCTTTCCACATCAACACTCCTATAACACACAGGAGAACCACCATGAATAATTCATGGTGGTTCATTCATAACTTAAGTTACTTTCCGACTTACATCTGTAATACATAACATCCGTGTAATTCATTAGTCGTTTTGCAATACTTGGTTCGTTAACTTTAAAGTGAGGAGAGGAACGTATACCTTATCACAGAAAAGTGAATTCAAGGGAGAATTCAAGTGAATTCAAGGGGATGTGAATTCAAGGGTGAACTCATATCACCAGCTAGACACCCATCAGACAAGGTAATCAGTAACAACTTGAAAAGAAAATTCCCCTCAGAGCGCAAAATTGCCCAAATTCACCATGGAAGTTAGCGCTAAAATGTACGCTATCACAGAATTATTTTCCTAGAAAATCAGTAATGGTAATTACTGATTTTCCAGGGGACCATCACCGGAAAACCTTCCTCCGCCATCGCTGTGTCTCTTCAGTGATTCCTAGGAGAGAGAGAGAGAGAGAGAGAGAGAGAGAGAGAGAGAGAGAGAGAGAGAGAGAGAGAGAGAGAGAGAGAGAGAATAAGGAGGAAGACAGACAAGATTAACACCCTCATACGATATGTTTGCACTCACGATAATGAGGCCAAAAATTTATGAGTGGGGACAGAGGTGAAGTGTATTGTTGGAAGCTGGGCAAAGGTCACCTGTGTTACGGAGAGGTGGTCCTGTGATGAGGCAGGATGAGAGGTGGTCCTGTGATGAGGCAGGATGAGAGGTGGTCCTGTGATGAGGCAGGATGAGAGGTGGTCCTGTGATGAGGCAGGATGAGAGGTGGTCCTGTGATGAGGCAGGATGAGAGGTGGTCCTGTGATGAGGCAGGATGAGAGGTGGTCCTGTGATGAGGCAGGTCGAGAGGTGGTCCTGTGATGAGGCAGGTCGAGAGGTGGTCCTGTGATGAGGCAGGTCGAGAGGTGGTCCTGTGATGAGGCAGGTCGAGAGGTGGTCCTGTGATGAGGCAGGATGAGAGGTGGTCTTGTGATGAGGCAGGTCGAGAGGTGGTCCTGTGATGAGGCAGGTCGAGAGGTGGTCCTGTGATGAGGCAGGATGAGAGGTGGTCCTGTGATGAGGCAGGATGAGAGGTGGTTCTGTGATGAGGCAGGTCGAGAGGTGGTCCTGTGATGAGGCAGGATGAGAGGTGGTCCTGTGATGAGGCAGGATGAGAGGTGGTTCTGTGATGAGGCAGGATGAGAGGTGGTCCTGTGATGAGGTAGGACGAGAGGTGGTCCTGTGATGAGGCAGGTCGAGAGGTGGTCCTATGATGAGGCAGGTCGAGAGGTGGTCCTGTGATGAGGCAGGTCGAGAGGTGGTCCTGTGATGAGGCAGGATGAGAGGTGGTCTTGTGATGAGGCAGGATGAGAGGTGGTCCTATGATGAGGGAGGATGAGAGGTGGTCCTGTGAAAAGTCAGACAGGAGGAGAAAGGGTCCTGGGGAAGAATCAGGCATGAAGGGAGAGGGTTCTGTGAAGACGCAGGCAGAGAAGAGAGGGTCCTGTGAAGAGGCAGATAAACGGTAGGGAGGGTCCTGTATAAAGACAGGAATGAGAAGACAAGGTCCTGTGTAGCGGCAGGCAGGCGAGGCTCCTGTGAAGAGCTAGGCAGGAATGTGCTGCAACGCACTTCTCAGCATTTAATACACACACACACCGAGTCAAACTGCACCACCAGCATGAGCCTAATCTCCCCCTCCCCCCCATCTGCATGATTAACTCCACCTCTCCTCCCCCCCTCTCTCTCTCCCCCATCCTCTCCCTCTATCCCACATCTAATCCTATACCCATTCCTCTGTCAACATCATGCCACCAGACAACATGGGTTTAGAAACCACAGACAGACCCATATACAGCTATAACCCGGATTTATGATCATACTGCCAATGACGTGACGAAAACAGAGCATTGAAGTATAATGCTTAGTGATATGGGAGCTGGTCGGCCGAGCGGACAGCACGCTGGACTTGTGATCCTGTGGTTCTGGGTTCGATCCCAGGCGCCGGCGAGAAACATTGGGCAGAGTTTCTTTCACCCCATGCCCCTGTTACCTAGCAGTAAAATAGGTACCTGGGTGTTAGTCAGCTGTCACGGGCTGCTTCCTGGGGGTGGAGGCCTGGTCGAGGACCGGGCCGCGGTGACACTAAAAAAAAGCCCTGAAATCATCTCAAGATAACCTCAAGAAGATGTCTCGTGGCTTTTGGCTCTTGACACACACAGGTCTGACGAACAAGATGTCACCACCAGGTCCTCCTCCTCCTCCTCTACAGTGGCTCGCTGCCACGCTATACAGGTTCGTGGACAACGGAACAGCTAGCTATAATCAGCTGTCGGCAGCTACTTGGGTGCTATAATCAAATTTAAAAAGTTTAATAGCTCGAGGAAACGCTTTTCCACATATATGCAGGTGACCTGACCCTCCCCAGCCTGGAGTATGGCATCACAGACGCTGACCACGTTGCTCAAACAATGCAATAAATCTGCCAACCAGGACAAGCGAATCGTTACTGGCTAGCAAAACCAAGTTAATCACTGAATTCATAAAAATATATGAACATTAATGGAAGCCCATTATCCCTGGCAACCACTCTGTCCAACATAGAGATGTGGGCAGAATACTGCGACTTAAGATTAACAGAACAGGAATAAAAAAATTACATTAAGACAGAATAAACAAAGCTCAAACAGCCTTAGGCAAGCCGAGGAGATTCCACAGCCTCAGCACGAACACAGCTACACTGAACAAGGCTCTAGTCCAGTCGCATCTCAAATACCTAACATGTCAAAACTAAAAGCAGTGCAAACTAAACACATTTTTCTCGGGGACAGGAAGCCTGTGTATAAATTTTAGGCTTATATCGAGGTCCTCCCAGGATCAAGAAATGCGTAAGAAGCACGAGCCTCAACCAAAATATAATCATCATATACTATAAAACAAGGAAGACCACAGACCTCCTCATTAAGAACAGCTTAAAGCCATCTGAGAACCATTTACAGTAGTTGAATGTGGCATATATGTACATCTGTCGCCATGCATCCTTCTAAATTTAAATTTTGCCCCGAGGGGCGAGTTTATTAGGCAGTGCCACTCATCTTGTGAGTGGACACACCGCCATAGCAGCATGTACAACACTCCCCAATAGGAAGAAAACCCGCTGGGTTGTTCATCCTGTGCATCCTTCTAGGTACATAGGTATGACGTCGACCAGGCTCACCAGGGTTTTAAACGGCCATCTTCAATCAGGTGCTTCAAAGAAAAAAAATGAGAGAAGCCGACCAGACCACACACTAGAAGGTGAAGGGACGACGACGTTTCGGTCCGTCCTGGAGCATTCTAAAGTCAATTGTCACATTTGGAGACATCCTCTTCCAGAATCGACTTGAGAATGGTCCAGGACAGACCGAAACGTCGTCGTCCCTTCACCTTCTAGTGTGTGGTCTGGTCAACATACATCAGCCACGTTACTGTGACTCATCGCCTGCATGAGAGAAGCCCATTTCATCACGATAATGAGAGAAATGCTAAAATAAAAACACTTGCATGTTAGATAAAGCACAAGATGTAAGATTACAAATTCTTGAAGACTAGGCATTCTGTTGATTTCTAGACACCTGCCTTAAGCTCCACACATAAAAGTAGAACTCACCGTTAACACAAATAACGGAACTATTCACTCTACCACCGATGACGTCACTGCCCAACAAGCCATGTCCACTACGGTCACCTGAGCCTTAACTACCCAATCACCTGACTTATCCTTGTTTGCTCATTTTACTTCTATTCTTTTTTTTTCGTCTTTTCTCCTGACTTAATTTTGTACGTTTGTCTGTGTTATAAATCAGATGTTCCCTCATGGCTTGTCCACAGCACCGCTCCTGTGCCAGGTAAGTCCATTACGGGCTCACCATAGCCTGTGCTACTTCGGAATTTTGTTCTAAGTAGCTGAATCTAAAACAACAACAATATGGCTTGTCACTCCTCACTTGACAATGAACGTTGGAGGTTCAAAACGTTGTGTAAAATTATAAGAAGTACAATACATTATACAGTTAATTTTTGCTCTTTTAGTCAGCCTTGAACAAATATGACATTTGGAGACATCCTCTTCCAGTTAAGGCAAGATGCAAGAGCACTAGTCAGGGGGACAGAAGCCCTAAACAAGAAAATAATCAACACGGAATATGCAGTCATAGTCAATGAAACATGTCTATATACATTTTCAGTTGTATATTTCAACTGGAACCGTTGTAAACGTTTTCAGTAAAACATTTCTGAAGTTTTCAGTTGCATATTGGCTTGGGGGACCATTCAAGCTTCTTCGCACATATATATTTATATACATACATATATAATTTTATATACAGATAAAATCATTCCATATTTTAGAGAAAATCATTTTGATTTGATCCGGCATTCTGTTGATTCCTAGACACCTGCCTGCATACCCGCCATCGTTATGTCTTTGTGATTTGAAAGAAGGGTTATCTTGATGTTATCTTGAGATGATTTCGGGGCTTTAGTGTCCCCGCGGCCCGGTCCTCGACCAGGCCTCCACCCTCAGGAAGCAGCCCGTGACAGTTGACTAACACCCAGGTACCTATTTTACTGCTAGATAACAGGGGCATAGGGTGAAAGAAACTCTGCCCATTGTTTCTCGCCGGCGCCCGGGATCGACCCCGGGACCACAGGATCGCAAATCCAGCGTGCTGTCCGCTCGGCCGACCGGGGTGTGAATATCCTTACCCCACAGGCCAGTGTAGGCAGGCCAATTGTAAAATCCTGGTTAGGCACCGGTTTGGGCCTCCAGAACTTCCCTTCCCATTCAATAGCGTTCTGGGATGGTTGGCTTTTTAGTTACTATCGTGGCTGAGTGGGTTAACCGAGTGTCTGGGAACCACCAGAACGCCGGTTCAAGTCACCTCATTGCCTTAAATTTTGTCATTGATATATCATACCATTGTTATATTTTGAGATAATATGTTGCTCATTTAAAGTTTCCTGAGGTATTTCCCACGTCTCGAACATTACAGTTCGAACGTTTAAACTGACAATACCAAATCTGAGTTCAAAGAGTAGAAGATTTCTACATTTTAAATAGCTTCCAATGACGTAGTTGTTAGCACGTCAACACAATATACATCAACGCAAAATGCTTTACACGAAACGATGGATACAAATGGGACAAGTTTACCTTAAAGACGTTAACAAAAAACCGTTGGTTTAGAAATAGCGTTGAAGAGTTCTGGAGTTGATAACCAGGTAAGACAATAGACGTGAGATCTTAAGACTGCTTCAAGTGAAGGTTAGAGACTTTATATACACAAATGAGTTGGGATGTTTACAAACAGAAGCTGCCTCGCTTGGCTCAACATGCGTTACACAGTTGATTTTATTCTTACTGTCATCCACCACCATCATCATTCCCGGAGCTCTTACACACACTTCCCTTCTATGAAGTACTCGACACGTTCTCGTATCCTGTAATAGTACAGTATTCTCTGTACCCACCCCGGCAGCGGCCCTGTAACTGGAAGGGTGACTGTTGTACAGTCTCACCCTTTGTACCTTGAGGTGCTTCCGGGGCTTAGCGTTCCCGCGGCCCGGTCGTCGACCAGGCCTCCTGGTTGCCGGACTGATCAACCAGGCTGTTGGACGCGGCTGCTCGCAGCCTGACGTATGAGTCACATACGTCAGGCTGCGAGCACACCACAACACCTTTTTTTGATGTGACACTGTCTTCTACCTTATAATTGTTCATGCCTGTCTTATCGTCGGTAATAGGATGGCACGAAGCTGGGATATTATATTATTATTGGGGTTTGCATGTGTCGTGATAATTTGAGGTTCTTCTAATCTGTTGCATAGTTTTAAATGTTGTTATGCAAGTATTTCGTCTGATATGAGATGTTTTGCGAAGGGTGGTGGTGGGGTGTGGAGGGTGGTGGAGAGGGTGGCGTGTGGTGATGGAGAGGGTGGTGGTGGGTGTGGTGAGGGTGGAGAGGGGTGAGGGAGAGGGTGGTGGGTGTGGTGAGGGTGGAGAGGGGTGAGGGAGAGGGTGGATAGGGGTGATGGAGAGGGTGGTGGTGGGTGTGGTGAGGGTGGAGAGGGGTGAGGGAGAGGGTGGAGAGTGTGGTGAGGGAGAGGGGTGGAGTGGTTGCTGACGAGAGAGAGAGAGAGAGAGAGAGAGAGAGAGAGAGAGAGAGAGAGAGAGAGAGAGAGAGAGAGAGAGGGGGAGCCGTAGTCAGGATGTGACTGGTAGTGTGGGGGTGTTAGAGCCAGCCCTCACAGCAAGTGTCTCACTACTTAACAAACACTTCCTCTCTCATCAAGCATTTCTCATTGCAATAGATGTGTCGTATGACACGTGACGTTTAACAAGCATGTCAATCGCTTCAGGACACTTAAGACCAAGGACCGAGAAGCATATAATTATTAAATTCAAAATGAGTTGTCTTGAAAGGAAACGCTTCCTCTGGCATTTACAACTTGCCCTTATACACGAACGTTCTGTTTTAATGCGTTCTTTCCTGTCTGACTGCAATGCCCAATCACGAGCCCACCAGCTGGAGTCTAGCTCAGAGCTGACCTACAACAGCACTGTAGAATTTCGTATGTTGAATTCACTATTAACGATAAATCGGGCATCAATGATTCACAGAGATATGTCAAGGCTTTGTTAGTTTAGTTCATCTACTGTATCCCCCCATACCCCTCCTGTGGATGATAGTGGACCCCCATACCTATCCTGTGGATGATAGTGGACCCCCATACCCATCCTGTGGATGATAGTGGACCCTCATGCCCATCCTGTGGATGATAGTGGACCCTCATGCCCATCCTGTGGATGATAGTGGACCCTCATGCCCATCCTGTGGATGATAGTGGACCCTCATGCCCATCCTGTGGATGATAGTGGACCCTCATACCCATCCTGTGGATGATAGTGGACCCTCATGCCCATCCTGTGGATGATAGTGGACCCTCATGCCCATCCTGTGGATGATAGTGGACCCCATACCCATCCTGTGGATGATAGTAGATCCCCACACCCATCCTGTGGATGATAGTGGACCCCCCCCAATACCCATCCTGTGAATGATAATGGACCCCATACCCATCCTGTGAATGAGAGTGGACCCCCCTTACCCATCCTGTGAATGATAATGGACCCCCATACTCATCCTGTGGATAACAGTGGACCCCCCATACCCATCCTGTGAATGATAGTGGACCTCGTACCCATCCTGTGAATGATAGTGTGGATGGGGATGGTTTCCACTACTTCTGTCTGGTTTAGTGGTGGTTAATACTAGTGTCTGGGAGGGAGAGGGAGAGAGAGAGAGAGAGAGAGAGAGAGAGAGAGAGAGAGAGAGAGAGAGAGAGAGAGAGAGAGAGAGAGAGAGAGAGAGAGAGAGAGAGAGAGAGAGAGCCGTCCTAAAGGTGAGAGAGTACTCAATAATATGCGAAGCCTCCCACTACCTTCCCCTCACTGCTCTTGGCTCATGTCACACCGGAGGACACAGTGTTCACTCTCTGGTCAATACCTCTGCACTCATGAGAGTTATGCACTCAAAACCTCTGTACTGAAAAGCTTCAGCAATCAATACTTCTGCACATATTAATTGGCACTTAATATCTCTCTCAGACCTCTTCACACCTATTCCCCTCTCAGACCTCCTTCACACCTATCCCCCTCTCAGACCTCCTTGAGCATATTGTTGTCAATATTATAACACACCATTTTGATAGCTTGTCAGGCTATCTGACAAGCTATCAAATGTCTGAGTTATGTCTGATATGTCTGAGTTTCTCGATTGTTGCAGGTTTTTGTCAACCTTGTCTTCAGTCTTATATGCGTTCTCTTATAGACCAACGAAATCCCTTCCTTCTATTTTGGATCAGTAATGGCAGGAAATATATTACGAAGATATTGAGAGGTTCGTTCACACAATTGTAAGGAACGTGATCATTTAGCTTCCGTCTCCTTGTGCTGTGGTCGAACGTAAAGCTTCTTTCGATTAACTAAAAGTTCATGTGTGGGCTTATTCTGTCCCCAGTTCCATGAACTTGGACTGGTTGGCAGGGCTATGGTCTCGCTTTTTGCAGGGGCTGTGTTCGAGGCCCCCATGGTCCAAATAGGTGGCAGCACTCTTCGTCTCCATCTTGTTATTCCACCTCTTTGTCTTCCTATTCCAGCTCCTTGTCCTCCTATCCAAGCTCCTTGTACTGTTCCAGCTCCTTGTCCTCCTATCCCAGCTCCGTGTCCCTCCTATTCCAGCTCCTTGTCCTATTCCAGCTCCTTGTTCTCCTATTCCAGCTCCTTGTCCTCCTATTCCAGCTCCTTGTCCTCCTATTCCAGCTCCGTGTCCCTCCTATTCCAGCTTCTTGTCCACCTATTCCAGCTTCTTGTCCACCTATTCCAACTCCTTGTCCTCCTATTCCAGCTCATTGTCCTTCTATTCCAGCTCCTTGTCCTTCTATTCCAGCTCCTTGTCCTCCTATCCAAGCTCCTTGTCCTCCTATTCCAGCTCATTGTCCTGTTCCAGCTCCTTGTACTGTTCCAGCTCCTTGTCCTCCTACTCCAGCTCCGTGTCCCTCCTATTCCAGCTCCTTGTCCTCCTATCCCAGCTCCTTGTACTATCCCAGCTCCTTGTCCTCCTATGCCATGCAAGTGCTATACAGTCACACATGCCCAGATAATTCACAGTCTCTCGTTCCGAACACAAGTTTCTTTGAGAACATGTGAGCAGGTTGATTAGTACGTCTCTGTCCGCCAGGATAATCAGCTCCAATCACTGAGATGACGTGGCATCCTGGAAGATTAATCAGCGCCAATCACTGAGATGACACAGCATCCTAGAAGAGTAATCTTGCTCGACCTCTG